ATTTTTGGAAGGCTTTAGTTTTAGAGGAAAAATCAAGTTACTGTTCATTACCTCAGTACCAGAGAATTGATTTGGATTTCTGTGAAACCGAGCCATGTTGGCTGCAAACAGGAATTTGTTCTTGGAAGGGTAACAACAACCAGCCTGTTGCCCTTGTTTACACTGTAAAAGGTACATAGGAAAAGAGGGAGTCGCATCCAGCGTGCACTCTGTGTAATTAAAACATGAAAAGTACTGCTGATTTGGCCTTCTTTCTAAACAAACGTTAGGGCGAGTATTCAAAATGGAGGAGAGCCAGGCCGAGGTTGCAAAAAATCTGTGCTGTCAAAAACCTGTGTGAATTAAGATGACTGAGTTTTGGCAATTGCGCTGCGCCCTTTCTGACCAAAAGAATTCAGACTTGCCTGCTTTTATCTATGTCTGTATTTGGGCCCTCAGTGACTTTGGGGACGCATGTTTCGGAGGTACTTAAAATCTGTGTGATCTGCAGCCCGATTCTCGAAGGCTGATCGTTCCTTTGCACATTTGTGGTGACAATTGTGTGCTCAAGGGTAATGGTGTCAGTATCTTGAAATCTGTCTTCTCCAGCTCTCTCCTGCTACCTTAAAACTCACAATGTACTCAGAAAATTGCGTGAGGCAAAGAATGAACATACAAATACGTAAGCGAATTGGCAGACAGTTTTGTTTGATATTATCACTAAGAAAAGACAAAAGGAAAGCTGATGAGTCACTAAGGAGGACACAGATCTTAGGAACGTAATGCATCCAGATAAGGGCATGTGAGGATGGTGAAAAATATTTGCAAAAGCAGCTGAAGAGAGTTTGCTGCCAGACTGCTTTGACATGTAAACCATCTCTCAAGCTGAATGGGTCTGTATTTCAGAGGACAGATTTACTAGGGACCTTCTGTTTGTTGTCATTTTGAAATGAATCTCAAGAATGCATGTCTTGAGAGCTAAATTGGTGTGGGAGTCTGTATGTAAATATATATTTGTGTACATATTTTAAAGTGCATATATGTAACGAAAGAAAGAGATTCTAAAAAGAGGATGGAAACAGAACATCTGCAGGAAGAATTACAATTCCTCATGCACTTTTTTTTTTTGGGCCCCAATTTAAAATAGTCCTGAAAGAGAGAGAGATGTTCTAAAGACATTTGAAGAAGTTTTGACTTATACGCATTTTTAGAGTTATATTTTTAAACCGACTGCTTCCTTGCTTAAATACTTACTTGTAAATGTAAATTAAGAGAAGACAATCTGTTTTTCAAGCAAGTTGCCTTGACCAGGTTTTGGATGACACTTCCACACCCACTGTACAAAGCTGAGGATCTTCTGGCACCTAAGCAGAGACCTGGAAGGTTGCTGGGGAGTCTGCCTCTCCCGCTAAAAGCTACCAAAGACCCTCAGGCCCTTGCTGAGATGTTTGCATACCTTGTTCTTAAAATTCCTTAGCTTCCCTATGTGACTTGTTCTAGTGTTTAAATGTCACTTTTGGAGGGCAGAGAAAGGACAGTTCTACATTGTTTTTGTGTAAGCTAGGCCTGTTATTCTTCAAGTTGTTGTCTACTTGTCATCCTCAATGGTCACAGAGAACCATTGAATGCCAGCTATTTTTGGATGTTTTAAGTTTGATTCCACTCTCTAGCTTCATTCTCCTCATTTCCTGACTAAATAAACAAGATTAGTTTGTGTGTGTGACATAGCCTGTCACAAAAGCTATGCTTTTAAAACCATCTGGAAGTTTTCGTGTTCTAAAACTGTCCAGTTTGCTGTACTGTACTTGAAGTGCCTTGGTGAAACTTCATTCCGTGTCCAACAGCAAGGAATCAAGGAAAACAATGAAGTTTCATGTCATATGCTAATGTGTTCCACAATTTTATTTCATTCCTTTTGAAGTAATAGTGTTAGCCCAAGTTTTGATCTCACAGATTCTTGAGAGATGTTTAATATGTTAATGTTAATTATACATTTGTATTGCTGTCATGCTTCGAATATTTTTCCCTGAGTTTTATCATCATTTGACCTCTAGACTAATTATGAAGATTATTGTAAGTGACAGTTGTTACCTGCAAATGAGTTACAACCTCTGCAAGTTCAGCATCACCAGCCAATTTGAGAAACGTTTTTTACTTCACTACTCTGGTTGTTAAGATTGAAATACAAAGTATTGAATATACGCAGACCTTTGAAAGAGCTCATAGTTCTATATTCCTCTAGTTTAACAGGATAAAAAAAAAATCAAAATCATTGTTACCCTCTGAATAGCCCTTTCAAACAGATATGCAGCCATATAATAGAAGTTTCAGCCAGGCTCTGTTTCCCTGATTTACCGGGGAACTTACTGCAGCTCCCAGAGGGTTCCGCAGAAGCCATAAACTAAAGGGTACCAAAGCTACTTCTTTTGGCCTATCCAAATGCCCTTTAGCCTGACTGAATGAGAAACGTGCGGTTTGAGAGGATTCAAGTTTCATTTCCCTATTGCACCTCATTGTTTTGAAATGGAATATGATATTGTTTTCTTCTGTTTAGTATGGACACTGAGCTTTACAAACTTGTAGTTCACTTGGTACTCCTTTCCCTTTTAAAAATTAGTGTGGGTTTTTTTCAGAGGTAACTGATAATGCTTCAGAAAATGCTTTTACTTGTTACTCCAGAGAACATACTCAGCCCATCCCACTTTTTTCATCTGCTGTTGTGACTTTCTTGGGTAAACTGTACATTTTACAATGACAGTTTATTAGGTGCCAAGCATGAGCAGGCCTTTTCCTGCAAAGACTCTTTTTGTCGTGCAAGTATGAAATTTGTAAGAATGCAAAATGAAAACTGCATTTCTTAATGTATCACTTGGAATTTTCAAGATAGGATGCACGTCTACATTTAAAGCTGGCACAAGGCTTCTTCAAGGTGAAGCCAAATTTGAAATTTGCTGCCTTGATGTTGGCTGGATTTTTGTGTGTGTGTGTGTCCTCATCTAAAAAGTGACAGAATTCAGTTCTGTGGCAGTGCTGGCCTGGGTGGGGTGAGAGGCTGGAAGGCAAAGGGAAAGACCGTAAGGAGAGACACAGACGCCACCTTTCCACCAGCCTTCCAGCAGCTGGTCCAGCCTTCCTGAGGGACATCGTCTTCCGACTCCCTCTTCCCACCTTCTCCTGTCCATTTTCCTTCCATATCTTCCTTTATATTTACTGTGCCCAGACTTCTTGCTGTGTTGAAGCATCTCTTTCTCAAAGGGACCTTAGCCTCTTCTTTTTTAGCTTTCTCTTGTCTCCCTGTAGAAGGGATAGTTTTCCTGACTTCTTCAAAATAGAGTGAAGGAGACTTTATTACTTGTGACTGAGAAGATCCCTGGCCAAAAGCTGAGGGAATTATTCTGCTCAGGAACTGAGAATATCTCCAGCTAATGGCTGAATATTTCTAGGGTGAGAGATGTTGTCCTCTGGCTCCTTGAGACATTAGGAAAATGTCTGCTGCTATTCTGCTGTGATTTAACGTGAAAATGCAGTTCTTTTTATAAAAACACCATTTTCCCATTTTAAATTTACTTTCAGGAACAGAATATGAAATGTTTTAGGAATTTAGAGAGAAATGTTTCCAACTACTGTCTTCTCCATTTATTCACTTAATTCCTTTTTGGCTGTTGACAGCATATGTGTATTGTTTCATTTTAACTAATGCTAAAAATTACCACTGAAAACACTTGCTGAAGAACTAAGTTTCTCTAACCATGTTGTAGAAACATAGCACCAAAAAATACTCCAGAAAATTTGGTATCTTCATATCATTCTTGTTTCACATTTTGGTGCTGATAATTAAATTATTGAGTTGTGTATTGGAAAGAAGTTTACCATTTACACGCTATGCTGGTATTTTCCATCTCTGTCATCTATAGTTTGTCAATTTATCTGATTTCATTCTATATTTTTTTAAGTAATTCCCATGTAACAGGCTGAGCCCTAGTTAGTTGACGAAGTTAAAAAAAAATCCACAAAAGTAATATTCAATCAGTATTGCTGTTTTTAACAATAATGTGTGACTTCACTGGGGAAACAGGGTGTACTGCGAGTTTAAAATACTGATAGCAATGTTGGTTTCTTCACAACCACAGAACAACAGCTGATCCAACAACCACCATTGTTGGGCATTTCCAGCAGTAGAACGAACATAGTATCACTGAAAAGTGTTAGATATTAGCACAGATTGGAAAAAGATAAAGAAAAAAAAACCACACCAAAAAAACCCTTTAGTGCCATTCCAGCAAATGGAAGCGAGACATCCTGAAAGTGCAATCGTAACTTGTAGACTGGTCTGAGGAATCGCTTAGCCTTGTGAATGCAAACTGCAAAGCGGTTGCTCTTCCCACTGCAAAACGCTGCTACTGAAAATTGCTTTACAGGGATGGTTTTTCTCTTTGCCGTATAACCTAGACTCTGTGAATGGCTGTTCTTTCAGAAACAGCATTTACATGTTGCGTTCTCGGTATGTGTTCACAGCGATATGAAGAATAAACATGAAGTTATGCGTTGTGTATTGCAAACCTTGAACGAGGAATTAGTTAATAAATAACATAGGAAATTAATTATTAAACTGCCTTGTCTTACACCTTTCTGCTCTTTATCCCTCTCGTACATCATAGGAACTGAGTTTATCTTCCACCTCCCCTTATCTACTCATGCTTTCTGTTTCATGTTTCCTCTCATTTTGCTTTATTGCCCTTGCGCATCTGTCTTCTCCCTGAGTGTTCGGTGTTTACAGCCTCTGCTACACAGTCCTGAGCTCTATTTTAACCAATGCACGAATAAAGCGTAGTTTTTTGTCTTTAAACTAACTGTTTGATCAGTGACATGAATTAGAAGGGATAGCACAGTAGGTTAAATGCCAGACCTCTAATTTCAAAGGTACAATGTCATTTTCTTCATGAATAGCAATGACTCCAGATAAATTTCTAAATATAAATGATTTCAGGGAAGCTCATGAATTTTCCTGTACTGTTTTGCAGGGGATTTCCTAAGAAAACAGGCAGAACTGCTAGGATAGCATCAGATGAAGAGATTCAAGGGTCAAAAGATGCTGTAATTCAGGATCTGGAAAGAAAACTTCGCTTCAAGGAAGACCTTTTGAACAATGGGCAACCGGTATAAAAACATAAAACAACCTGAGAAATGGGAGTGGTCATCTAGGGTAGTTTCTCAGATTCGCTGCATATAAAATGATTGTGTGTAGACTGTTTTTGTATTTTATGTACTCATTTTAAATCGCATTTCCAGGGCTGCACCTCAATAGGGAATGACAGTGTACATTTTGGCCTGTCAATCCTTCTCCTGTTGGGCAACTTTACTCCGACTTTAAGCAACGGAGGCCTCGAAGGTGATGAAAGAAGCCTGCAGTCTGTACCTCCAGGGCTTTTTCAGCGTCAGAGGCCATTTGCTTTTGACGGTTCATCACCGAGTGATGCGTATGCAGAGCTCTTGATCACTCCAGGCTCACTCTACCTTTTGCCTAGCTCTCGGACAATGGAGGGAAAGAAGTTAGTGGATACTGGACGGCCACAAGGCAGTGAGAAACAAACCTGTTAGGAATCAGGCATTGTTAGGTACCACAGCTGTGGGAATTTTTTGACCAGTAGAACAAAAAGCAACCTGTAGTACTAACTTACAGACTTTATCAAGAATTAATGATCTGCTTGAGGAGTCAAGAAATGAGGTAAAATGGGCAAGTATATCAAATAATTGAAATGCACAGCTGCAAAGTTCTCCATTAAATTTTTTTGCATTTTTAAGATACTTTTAAAAGATAAACCACTGAATTCTTCCTGCTCGGAATTGATGAGGAGCGCTCTGTCAAGACTTGACTATGGTTATTAAGGCACCCATCTAAATGTCTTTGAAGCGGGAATCTCTTTTAAGAGGAAAGTAATTTTTAACACGTAGGTTGTCACCCCTGTTCCGTCCATGAAAGGTCTTCCAAAGCATCTGAATTCCTTTGTGTCACTGAAAGGTAGCTGCTTTAGGTTTCTCAGAACCAGGCTCAGGAGTTTGCCGTGTCTGCTCCCCTGTCTGAGACGTGCTCGTCTAGTTCAAGACAAGTTATTGGGTCAGTGTCTACTCCACAGCTGCTGGATTGTGGTTCTTAATAAGGGCAATGGAGCGAAGCAGGGAAAGCACTTGGAGTGGCTCAGTGCTTCTGTACTTACCTTCCTCCGCTGACTGCACAGGATTTGGCAGTTTTCTGTAGCAGTTCAGCAAAATCATTCTCACAGTGTGTAAGTTCCCATTTTTTTTCAAAGGAGGTGGGCTGGGCATAACTGTCAGTGCCTATTTTGGAAAGTGAGAGAGCTGTTTGGCCCGGGCAAATAAATGGAATGTCCTGAGAAAGTCCACATGGCCCAAGGAAGAAAAAAAAAAGTCATCTGTGATCAGATGATGTGGGAGCTTGAACCAAGTAAATTCTGGTTTTTGTGCTTGCCTTGAGGCTTTTACCTTGCAGATTCTTGTCTTGGGTGATTGTGTTGGTGTAACCATGGCTGTGGGCACTTAATCACAGGAGAAACTAAAGTGAAGAAAAGTTCATGGCTTGCTTCAACATTTGTAACCAAGCCAAGACTGATGCCTAGTTTTCATGAGTCTCAGCCTGATTGTTAAGCTACAATACAACATATTAAAAAATTAATTTAATTGATCTTTTTGTAAATGGAAGCGTTAGGTAGATGTAATGGTTTACAATTTACATTCTTTTTTCATTTTTCTGTTTAAATGAAGCATTTCACCGTGTCATGAGTTTGCCTTTCATTCACTGGTGTTTTTTTTGCAATGTTACTTTGTAAGAAAATATCCAAGCACATGAATTGTGTTATTGAACATAGAAGGAAAAATAATGCTGAAATAATTGAATTGGTCTCTTAAGGTTTTCTTGTAGCTTGCTTTGCTTAGTCTTTTATAAGCTGTCCCCTTAATTTCCTGAAAGAGTAAGGAAAAAAAAAAAGGAAATAGAAACCCATTGGATTATATTTTTCGATAAAGCTGTCATATTTTTGACTAAATAATCAAGTAGTGCAGCATCTCCTTAACACTTTTGGCAGAGTTTTCTGCTGCGTGGTTCTGATGTAAAAATTGACCAGAATGTCTAGCAGTAAGGTTTGGGATGATTTGACATGCGCTTTTTTTATGGCCATGCTGATTTAAGCACTTCCTATTGCTCATTCCTGCCCAGGCTCCTGGCAAGAGAATGGAATCAAATGGCAAAGTCAGGGCAAGGGCTGCTTAAGCCAGAAGAGCCACTTGTAATGCAAAAAAAATGCATTACAAACTGTGGTAGAAAATTTCTGTTAGAACTGTATTGCTGCTCTCTTTGAGTAACATTAGTTAAAGCGTTGCTTACTGTGCAACTGTCTTGTAGTTCTTAATGAGAAATAAGAACTTTGCTTTCTTCTTTTCCTCTGTCCTCACCCCCCTTCTGTTTTTTTGTTCAGAGATTAACATACGAAGAGAAAATGGCTCGTCGACTGCTGGGAGCAGACAGTGCTGCAACTGTCTTCAACATACAGGAACCGGAAGAGGAGCCCGCTGTACAGGTGCCATATAACTCTACAATCTCATAGGAAAACAAAAAAATCTCTGTTACTGTCTTAAAGTCCTACACAGGACAATAAATACACACAAGATGGGACGGTTTTGATTACAGGAGTCATATGTTATATATCAGTGAAGTAAACTGGAGGCTCACATGCCTGTTGCTCAGTTTTTCCACACTGAATAAGGTTGAGAGTTCTCAAATGTCTGCTCTCTGCTTTAAACTCTTCCGTTTAGCCTGTTCTCTCCTGACCTTTAAGCCTCTCGAGGAAGAAATACATCTACTATCTTGAAACTATCTTCTCTATATGTGTGTAATCTGCACTTTTTGGAGGCAGACCAAAAACACAACGGAACGTCTGCCTGAAAGGCCAGGTACATGCTCTCCACTGTTCCAATGCCAGAGTTGCTATTTGGAAACGTGCAGCGTTCATTTGCTTTATGACACATAAAGCGTGTTCTCCTGATAAAAACTCTGAGAACCTGGATGCCTCTTGGTTTTCTCTCTGCCTCTTGATCTCTTTTTCTACCCTTGCAGGAAGCTCGCTCTGTTGGTGCTTCTGTAGTGAGTCCTGTGGATATTCAAAAGGTTAATGGTTTTGCCTTTTTCTGTGCTGCTTTTTTGTCCACTGACTGGTTTTGGATTTTTTTTTTCTTTTCTCTGTCATCTTCCCCCTTTCCCTTCCACTGTTCTGGGTTAATAACAAGAGGTCACCTAGAGTTGGTAACTGGGGAGATGTGGGCTGTGTTTAACTGCAGTAATGTGTGCTCCACTGCTTGTCTGCTCTAACGTTAACGCACTGATACTAACGGCCTTGCATCCCAACCACCTGCTATTTGTACTTCATGATTTACTTGTATGATAAACTTTCAGGGAATAAAGAAATCTAAAAATAAAAAAAACAGAGACCTTTGTAAACTGAACTCTCTCCTTCCACTACTTATCATTATGATTAGTTCTGTAACCAGGCAGTAGAAAGACTATGTGTTGTTGCCAGGCCAGAGTCAATGGCAGAGGATGGGAATGAGAAAGGCTTCATGTGAGACATGTTGTATCTTAAATAAAAGAAGAGTCAGAGGCAAAGGCGTAAGGTCATTTGAAAGAGTGCCTGAATTTCTGCTGAATGAGAAGAGTATTAGCTAATACCTTTTTTTAATTTTTCTGCTTCTGAGCTTTCTTACATTCTGGCATTATCTTCGTTATCACTAAGATTCAAAGCCGGACTTCTGTGCTATTAAGTAGATAAGAGTGAACAGGTCAGGAAAGTACATAACTCCCTGTATTGCAGTGATGTTTCCCAGCATCTGAACAGCAAATTTGAGTGAGCAGTAGTGCTTTACACTGGATGAAGCTTTCCACTCTTATTTCTGTATCTTGAATACTCTTATGACAAATTTGGTTTTTAAGGAAGAAGTGATGCTTTTGGCCAGGCAAAGGGGACCATGGCAACAGGAGTAAAGGGAGGCCACTATCGTGGACTGCCAGTGTTGTCATTTTCTCTTTTTTTTCCTTTGCTTTTACAGGCAATTGTAAACAAAACCATTTTAGCTTTCTGGAGCAGCCTCTGGTACGGTTCTATGCAACAGCAGATGTGAACCATATGGTCTTCTGGATATTTGGAAACAAAACCCACCCTAAATCTGCCTGTACCCTCAAGGAAATATTAGTGTGTTTCTTTTGTCTTTATGAACTGCTCCAGAATGCTTTTGTTCTTGCAGGCTTGTTGAAAAAAAAAAAGTGAAAGAAAGCAACCAATGACTTTCCTTCCTCTTATAAATTAGACTTTAAGGTAACATGAAGTAGAATTTTTTGCCTCATACCAGATGTCTTCATTGTTTCATAGGGAAGTTATTGGAGGCACAGATTATAGTGTTTTTCTTCAACAAGATACAGTTTCCTTTTATATGTAAAACCTTAATGGATTGTCAAAGATCAGTAGAATAAAAAAAAAAAAAAGCCAACATTAGGAACAGATCTTGCTGAGCAGAATGTTGAAGTTGGATACTAATATGTACCTTTCTTGTTTGACAGGAGTATAAAGTCTCCAGCTTTGAGCAAAGATTGATCAGTGAAATTGAATACAGGCTGGAGAGATCTCCTGTGGAAGAATCAGATGACGAGGTGCAACATGGAGATGAACCTATTGATAACAGTGTATCGCCGTATTTTGAGATAAAGCTGAAGCATTACAAAATCTTCGAGGGAATGCCAGTCACATTTACATGCAAAGTGGCAGGAAATCCAAAGCCAAAGGTAAGGGAATAGAATAAATATTTCTAGAAACACCTGAAGAGTTCTATGTTGGTACCTTACAGTGAGCACCTGGACCCTATGTGTTGTATCTTATATCTATGTGTTGTATCTTATTGGAGAAGCAGGTGTTCTCTCTTGACAAGGCAAACTCCTGTCTGATATCAACTGTCAAATCTCTTTTCACATGACTGGACTCAGTGACACGATTCAGGTTAGATATTAGGAAGAATTTCTTTACTGAAAGGGTTGTCAGCCATTGGAACAGGCTGCCCCGGGGGCAGCCTGTCACCTGGAAGTGTTTAAGAGACGACTAGCTGTTGCATTGGGGGACACAGCTTAGTAGGTTGATAGGGCTGGGACAAAGGCTGGACTCGATGATCTCCTAGGTCTCTTCCAGCTGAAACTATTCTATGATTCTATGAAATATTTAGGTTTATACTAGACAGAAATCATGCTCTGAGGCTTTGGCTCTCAGTTAGTTCCTCCTGAGACTTCATCTCAATTATTCCACCTAGAAGTAATACTTCCATCAGTTTCAGAGTTACCTTCAGGGTGCAGTGCAGTGCTGGAACACCCTGTGTGAACTGGCACAGGAATCCCAAAAGCAACCTCATCAGGCTAATGCAGGTAATTAGCTCAGGCACAGCAACATCCTAATGCAAAAATACGTTGCTTCTGGTTGAGGAGCCAGCGTGGCATCGCTGCATTCTTCAGCATTGCAGAATTTACATCTACACACTATAACAAGACTAAACTTTATTAAAAGTTAGAGTAAGGCTTATTAAAATGCCATAAGCTCCCATATATCCCAAGAGCAAGATGAGACATGACGGTGAGGTTTTAATGATGAGCTTCTGAGGCAGGGTTGGGCTTGGGAAGCATTTCCTTTTAGCAAATGTGAAAGTACCAGTGGTGTGATGTCAATAGTCTTGGAAGAATGCCTTCCTTCGGTAGGTTGTGTTTAACCAATTCAAAGATCGCTTGGCAATCACCCCACTCGTTACACAACAGGTAACAGCAGCAGCTTCTTCACCTTTCTTGCCAAAGCCAGGATCTTCCCCATGAGGTCCTTGCAACTCTTACAGTGTCCTCTTGTGGACAGGGACTCTTATCTTCTCAGACAAAATCAGAGATGCCTTTTCTCTTAGTCAAGATTTTCGCAGGAGGAGCCACATCCAAATCTCTCATCTAGTGTAAGTTTTATGAATATTTAGGATTTTGAACAGAGATAAATGCAAATGACTTCACATGTCCAATGATACAGGTGTTTGATACTGCACAAACTGCAAAAAGAAAAATGGGCTTTGTCAGGTAGCAGAGAAAGAACCACAGAGAACTAGGGCTATGTCTAAGTCAACAAGTAGTGCAGACCAGAAGAAGCAAATCTGTAGAATGAGAAGTCCATCCTAGCACATGTTTCCGGAGGTTTTACTTCAGGCTAGCTCTGATCTTGTCCCACAGACTGAAGCAGATGCAGCACATTAGACGTGTTCTTGGAGCACATTTTCTGGCTTAGTTTCAGCTGAAAAGAATCCAGTCCTGTGCTCCAAGACCACAACATGATGTGAACCACTGCGAAATAAGTGGGGCTGATCCGTATGCTCGTACCAAAAAAGCACTCCTCCTTCAAACCAAGGGCTCGCAGTCCAGTCTGGCTGAAACCAAACCTTTGATGTCCTGCATTACTTTTGAGGTGACCGTACCGAAGAGTCTGTTATGAATAAGGGTAGAAGGCAGATGGATTCGGTGGAGTTAGAGGAGCAGCTTGCTGGAGAGGTACTTTTTGCCCGAGGCTTATGACTAAGTTGCTGGATCACCTCTTATGAGTCAGCCTTAGTCAATGTAGCCATTCCCTAATTTTCACAGTTTTCAATTAAGGTGTAGTTTCAGAGTCATTTTAATCTGATTTAAGATAGATGAAAGAGGATGTCTCCTTTCCCTCGCTCCCTTTGTTTTGGCATTGGGGATTGCACAGCCGAGAAACCACACCATTATCGTAGTGCTTCCCCTAAGAGCACGGTGTTACGCGGGAGTACCCGACACTCTCTTTTTCTGCAGAGTCAAACCACACACGTTAAGAAGTGATTTGTGCTTGCACCTGGGACTGTGACCCTTTATTCCATTTGCTTACAGATGCTTTCTGCAATTTGTTAAGTCGCTTGGGCTGGAACTGGTTTCAGTCCTTTGGATGGCCACTTGTCAACTGGGCTTTGCAGATGTCAGAGACTCTACCTTCCCCTCTGTATCTGCCGGAGCATGCCGAGATAGCAACTGTGAAATGCTCCGTGGCTGAGGGCTGCCCTTCTGCTGTCATTTGTTGAAGCTGGAAGTGTTGCCCCTGAATAAATTCTTTACTTTGGCAAATGAAAAGCTGGAAATAATTTACTACCTTGAAGCTCCTCCCTTCAAAGTATTCTGTCAGCTCTGCCAAGGAATGGCTTTGGGAAGGACTGTAGTGTTTCTGAAATCTGGCATTCATTACAAGGGATTTTTCTAAGCAGGGTTATTGGCGTGATTATTTTTTCCCCTGAACATGCCATGTAAATTGAATACTGATGTGCAAATTCCATCCTCAGAAATTACTTTTTAAATCCGAGTCTACTTCTGTTATAACCTTCGCTGTAACATAAAACCATTTTCTCATTAAGACGAGAACCTGGAGTGATAGAGGAGAGGTTGTAGAATGCTTCTTTTTAAAGGATATTTATCCTCAGAATTAGAACACCCCATACAAAAGCTTAATTGAGACACGAACGTTGCATAAAGCTCGTAGTGCTCGCTCTTCACATAGCTGAATATAATTCTTGGTGATTAAAAATGCCTGTGCTGCCCAAGATCAAAACCCCTTTTGTACTGCATATCCCATTGTACTTCTAGTCATTACACATTGGTTTCTGAAAATCTGGTGCAAATAAAAGCAATCCAGACGCAGTGTTCAGCGCTCACGTAGTTCAATGGCACATTTATTAAAAGGTACCTAGAAAGAAAATACTTCACTGCAAGGGCCATTGTCTCCAGCAGCAGTAGTATTTTACTTATTAACTCCATGCCAGACAAACCTAATATTAAGAATTGACTGCTCATAAGTAAAACCCAGTGAGGCCAGTGCTTTCAGACCTAGTGGAACTAAGTATTGGATGACACACACGTGGTATTTGAGCAGCTAGTTCAGGTAATATTTGCATGTATTTCCATGTAATAATTCCTGGCATATGTCTCCTGATACTTTTCTGATAAGTGGATTGTTATTAAATAATTACTAGGTAATGCAGTTGATTTCCAAGCAATGTTATGACACATGCAAAGCATGCAAGTTAAAACTCATTTTTTTGCAGCTATGTTGTTACCAGCATCCATTAGCGTGTGTATGGAAGTGATTGAATATCTTTTGCATCTCCAGTAAGTGCTCTGTCAGCAGATGAGGAGACGTGACTGAATCTTTTGTTAGCACCACAGAGCCTCTGTGAGGCTGCCGACAGACAAAATGGGAAACAAGTAGAACCAGCTATTGAGGAAATGAAATCCTTTCTAGTTACACATAATGCATAAAAACCATACATGGCAATTAATTTTTAAGGGAAATTTCCACTCATCCCTCCAAAACCTTCTTTGTTGTCTCTTTTGTGAACTTTAAAAGTACAGGCTTAACTTTTCCTCCCAGAGTGAATTTAGAACTCTAAATGTTGGCGTGCATGAAGAACCTGGCATATTAACCTCTGTCAGGAATTGTGCTTTGCTTTGTCACTTCATTTTTACTGCAAAGATGGCACCTTTTCCTTGCTCTGAGACCTACATCCCACTTCACAAATTACAGAGGAAAACATGTGTGTTTTTCCTCGTGCAGAACAGTCCCACAGTCATGCAACCAGGACAAATACAGTTGTACTTTGAGTACAAGTTGACTTTGTAAAATCTGTGTAGGTATTTGCACAAGTGACTTAAGAAATATTGAGCATTGCTGGCGTGCTGGTGTAATGCACGCTTCAGAAATTACAATGTTCTGCTTAAATATGGATTTGGGAAGGCGACCACAGCCTTCCCAGTATAAAATTTTTCACATATTCCTCTGTGTGTTTTCATGCACACACCGCATTTTTCTTTTGATTCCAGCAGATTTCAGCTCACGATTTTACATTATTTTTAAAATGTAGCAAAAAAAACCCAAACCCAAAGCTAGGTCAAAATATTTGATTTTTTTCTTTTTTTGCTTGAAGTTTGAGGCATTAAAAACACATATGTATTGTTTTGTGTAATCCATGGCTTACTACAAGATATTTTTCTGCATACATCATTTTCTTGGCTCACTGAAAGCAGATCTTGGGTCAGCCAGAGAATAAAATTATGTATCAAAAGTAATGGAAAAGACCTCTGTGTGATAGATAATGTAACTGTTCCGTACAACTTGGAACTGTCGTGGTGTCGGCGTGCGGTTATTAAAGGCGCTCTGTGCGCTGACTTGCTTTGAATGATTTCCTATGACTTGCGTGAATCTGCCCGTTTCTGTAGGTGTCTGTCACGTTTCAACCACGTAATTATATTGACCTGGCACGTTTGCACACGGAGATGCTTGGAGCCAGCAAATCCCCTTCTGCCTTTTTTGGTCCAGTCTGGTCACTGTAATGGATGTAGGACAAAACTGGTGTTTCCACACTGAGATCATTACTTCTATTTTATTCATCATTGAATTAACTAGTCCTACAATTATCATGTTATTTTCTGAAAAGAGAGCAATAGAGTCCTCAAGTTCTTTTTGCAGCTTCTTCAGATTTAAGTGAAATAAAAATTTAAAATTAGTCATCTTCTCTGCAATGGAACTTTTCTTTGTAGTGATGTTTATTTTCAGTTCTTGAAATGCACGGCTGCTGTCCCATCCTTGGGATGGGCACAGCCCTTGTGCACCTGTAAATTTCTTCAGTAGCTGGTTACGCTGCCGATTTTCTCTTTGAACAATCGCTGGGCTGTAACTTGTCCTTCAGTGAAAGCGGTTTGTGGAGTGTGGTTCTGCACTTTTACTAGTAGATCAGACTGGGTTTTTTAATGCTTACCAGAGAGGTTTTCAGCAGTTAACATTCGTTAGTGCTATTAATTGAGAAATGACGATGAGCAGCCACCTCTTATCAGCTGTGCCTTGATTTTTGGTTTTGTGTGTTTCTTTCTTCTGCAGATTTATTGGTTTAAAGATGGGAAGCAAATTTCTAAACGAAGTGATCACTACCGAATTCAAAGAGAACCTGATGGAACTTGCTCGCTGCATACTGCAGCCTCCACCCTGGATGATGATGGGAATTACACTATTATGGCTGCTAACCCACAGGTAAATGAAGGTTTGGCTCCAGAGCAAACATGCTTCTGGACATAAATCTTCAGAAAACGATCTCATCTTACGTATGCATGATTTAATTAAATGATGAAGTCACCATAAAGCATGTGAGTTAGATTTCTGTTTTCATCTTGCATCAGTAGGGTGGGACCTTTCTATCTCCAGGAGATTAGCAACTCAACAGCAGCTTTTTCTCCTATGGTCTGAGGTTTCAGAGGGGAGGGGTGTTGTCTTTTAATCACTCTTCCACCATTTGCTTCCGCTGATAACATCTCGGTATCCAAACTGAGCGTGGATAGCGTACATACTGTAAAGGGAGAAGAAATCCAGTTTACAGCAGCAGTAACCCAAGCCAGTGATTTCATTTCACTTCTGTTGACACTCCTCACTGACCGAGGCCAACTTTTTGAAACCAAGTGGGAGTACATCACACCTCAACATGTGTATAACAGGCAGGGATTGCAGTTCTGTGAGGCAAAAAATTCTAGTGCTTATTTCGTAGGGGGGAGGCCTCCCGTGTTGATCCCAAAGCCTTAAACAAGGTTTTTCTGAAAGAGAGTGCTCTTGATTTTGGAAAATTATTTTTAAAACATTATTATTTTTACAACAACTTTGCAGACCCAATACTAGAGCTGAGGTATGCAACAGAAATTCGCTAGTGCGTTGGACGCAGCTAAACTTACAGGTCACGATCCCAGCAAAAAGAGGGAAAAGATTTGCACATGAGAAACCAAGGCAGCAACATAACTTCAGGGATGTAACGAATTATTGTCTTCTATAGCACCAAATATCTTGCCAAGAACAAGCCTGCAAGTAGAATCACACTGTAAAATAACAACTCGTATCACTGAGAGGGAGTTTAATAGAGCCAGGAGTGTTGTGCTCTGTTAGCAGTGTTGCTTGGTTACTCAGTGGGGCTCTGCCAGTTTTGGGGTGCTCCTGAGCTGTCAGTCCCGCTCACACCGCAGCACACCTGTAAACATGCAGGGGTGTGCACATGGGCGACACTCCAACAGTGGCTTTAGGCTGGATTCTACAAACAGCAGTGTTTAAATCTGAGTACTTTAAGTAGTATTTCTATACATACAAATAACAGAAATAAAGCAACAATAATAATGCCTTAAGGTCAAGGGGACTCTTCAAGCTGGGAGCTTTTACACAGGACCATTGTGTTAGAACACTTGGTCCCATTTAAACTGTGGATATTCACAGCAGGTTTAAAAATGACAAATACATACACGCGTGCTCAAAGTAAAAGTAAATCCTGTTTGTCTTACTGTAAGCGTTGTGTTAGTGTGTGTAGTTTTCCCACGTGATCCAAAGGCTCAGATAACTTGGTGGATGGTTGCCTTTGTGTTTGGTTGCTGTGCTCCATCCCTGGGTATTTTGGGTCTGTTTTTTGGCATTTATTACCCTGGATAACACTCATTTGCTGACACAGCAGTGACTTAGGTTGTCAGTTCTGGTTGCCAATGACACTAGGTTTTTGGTAGTTTTTTAGATGTACTAAACCGAATTGGTTTTGTACTGTTCCTAGATTGGGGATTGGAAAAGCAGTTTTGTTAAATGACAGAATTCTGCATCTGTGCTTTTTGCTTCTCTTTGGAGAACCAGAAGCATCCTCCTCTGGCTCCCCTAAACGAAACATCTGTTTCACCAAGCCCATTCTGTTCTTTCTTTACAGTGTAATTCCCAAGCAAATGCACTTATCTCTCCTACTATTTGCTTGCTTTTACTGTGCATTTAACAGCACAATGGAGGCAAAGAAGGGCTGTGAGTTCATGTCCCACCATTTCACACTCAAAGATCTGGATTCCGATTCTTTTAAGTCATCGTGAGTAGAAATAATTTTGGCACAGCCTTCTCGATTCTAATGGAAAGTTGTCCACATCTCGAACCTATCATAAACTGAGGCAAAATTGGCAGCCTTGCCTTAAGAAAAGTGAAATACATAAATAGAATAGAGCCCGCATCAGGGCACTGATGGGATTGGCAGATGACTGGCAAATACTTGCTAGGCTGTTGCTGTGTTTTGGTCATTGCTATTGGAACCAGCAAGGCAAAAAGGCATATTCTTAGCTGATAGAAATTCATTTTATTAAAGCAAGGGATTAATTTCATTAAACCTCTGTCAGTTCATGCCCTCTCACGAGCTGCACTAATTTGACAGGATTTATGTATGACTTGTTGATGTACCTTGGAAATTGTCCGCGATCATTAACGTGGGCAGGCACCATTGCTTGCGATGTCAAGTGCGGCAATCTGGAATTAAGGTTCTAACACACCACTGGGGTTTGCAGTAAAATTTGCCGTAGAACTGAATCCAGAGAAAACTGACCCTGAGCCCAGAAAAACACAAATCCTTGCCTGTTGTAGGCTTTTAGTTACGGGGTTAAGCCCCTTAACTGATCTCTTTCCATGAGCTGTACGTCCTTATTTCCTCCTTCTTTCCTTTTATCTCATTCTCTCCTCTTTGCACCATGCACCCATGATCCTCAGTCTGGATTTTCCTCATTTCCCGTTTTCTCAGGAATTGCTTCCCACTCACTGCTTCTTTCCCATTCATCCCAGACTTTTCCAAAACTTTGGCTTCCTGCTTGATGCTCCCTGTCCAAATTCCTTACTGTCCTTTGTGTTTCCATTTGTGATGCCTTCATGTATTAAGATGCACAGAAATCATTCCAAAATGTGTGAATTCATCACCTGCCAGAAAGAGATGAATATGCAGTGCTGCCTGAAATAGAAATGTATTTGTTCCAGATGTCTTTAATGGCCTTCTAACACAAAAAAGCAAAGCCTTTGCTTAAGAAAGGGCTGCAGGTCACGCACAATTTAATGCAAGTAGTTTTCTTGTGGGCTAAATGGGTCATGGGAATAAACAGAGGACACCCAGACTCAGTTTCTAACAGCCCAGCAGTAACACCAAGGTCGTTGCCATTTGAAGGCTGCTTGTGATCCCAGTGAAGTTGTTTTTCCAAGGGCTTTGACCAGTTGTTAATGACCAGCTATTTGCAACCCTTCAATTACTGTGACAAAAATATTTGTCACTTCTAGGCTGACAGACATTGAGTGTGGCGCTCACAGCTTAGAACTGAAATACACTGCATAGCTGATGTGGGTGTTGCCTTAGTGCTACCAGTCCAGGGGGCAGGCAGACAGACGTATAGCTCCTATCCATTTATCAAAGAGCTTTTAAAAACTATAATTTTGGAAAAGTTACTAAAATTATGTTGTTATATAGAAGTATACTGCAGTATTATTTTTATATATAGCATTTATATTTGTTATCCATTGTGTATATTTATTAATGACACCAGTTGCTTTTACCCCTTACATGCCAAATTCTACAGAGCCCTGAAGTCAGTCTTATGGGGAGCATCCACCTGAGCAGCCGTGTGCTTCGGTGCGACTCCTACCCCCAAAATCAGGCTGGCTCTTCAGAGAGGACCTCTGAAGCACTTGTATGATTCTTTAGGGTTTACGTTCACGGGGATTTTTTGAGCAGTAGCCCCACCAGACTGAGTGGATCAGTCCCCTTTGGAGGCAGCAGCTCTGTCGTGAACTGCCACTGCTTACCACGTGCCATTTGCATAAGTGGCTGAACTTGAACTACTGGTCTTGCTGCCCATTTGCCAGACACACAGAAACCACCCACCCACATCAATAACTCAGCCAATACACTGTTTTAAACACTTAATTGCCAGTGGTACTACTAAGCTTTTTTCCAAGGAAGACTTCCAGACAGAACATTTTTAACCATGACTGTTACAGTCGCGATTAATCCAATTCTGTGTGTTAGACTGGAAACTGATAGAACAGATCAATATCAGAATGCGTTTTGACAATGTTTTTTCAATGACTGTGTGAAAGAAAAGATTGTACTACAGACCTTGTAACAGGTAGGTAAAGAAAAGATAAGGTTGAACATTTGTGACTCTTGCATGCTTTAAGTCTTCTAATGTTCTTCTCCACTGTCGTAACAGGGCAGAGTAAGCTGCACGGGCAGGCTTATGGTTCAAGCTGTAAATCAAAGAGGCCGCAGTCCTTGGTCACCTTCTGGTCAGCCTCATATGAGAAGGTACTCAATGCTTCTTTTTTTTTTTCTTTTAATAATGTACTTTGCAAAACTATCTTGGTAATATAAAGAATGTGAGGTAAGAAGGGAAGTTAGAAGTATGGCATTCTGGTAGAAATGTGACCTCTTCTATTTAAACAATTTCTGCAAAGCTTGCAGCAACCTCTGAAATGACTTTGTTTTAACTGTGCCTATCTCATCTCCTCCTTCTTTGTGACGTTCACTAACCATTCCTAATCTCAGGTGACACCACCAGCTGTTGTGAAGGACCTTGTCACTTATGTGTTTTTTTCAAAACATCCCACCTGACTAGGATTCTACCAGGAACCTGTAAATTCTGTAGCTTTTAATAAGTATTCACTTAAAGAAAAAGTATAAACAACTTCATGCCAAAGAAGTTTATTAGATTTACATTAGAAATATTTTAGTATTTCGGTTCAGGTTCTTATAAGGAATTATGAGTCAGAAATAAAGTATGAACCTTATCTTTCGTGAGTTTACAATTATTCATGTACAAAGCTTTGGTTTAAGGTTTTGAACCATATAAGGGAATTTTCTCTTCAAATACTTTTCTTTTTCATTACCCAAAGCCTTTATGAGGCAGTTTAGCATAGCTTAGACAGTTAAAGACGATAGCAAAGAAAAAAACAGATAATCATTTTGGTTTTCCAAACAGAACTGCTTTCAAAGAGCACGAGGGCTCCAGTTCTGGATTCTGCCATGATGAGGGCCATGTTTCGTTTAATGGTCATGATGGCCACAGAATCTCAATATTCTCCAATTATAATACATAGAAGGGATGTAATTAAATAGCATGCCTGTAACAATTACGAGTGGAAGCAGTATGTACTGTAGAACTGCTACAGGCAGAACAGGCTCCCTTCCCCACTCTGATAACTAGAAAGCATTAGGAAGCAAGGTCAGTTGTTTTAAAGATCTTGCCGGTCTTATTTTTGGAACAAGTTGGGCTTCCTGCAGTGCTGGGAACATCCCCCGTGTCTCACTGAGGCATCAACCCCGGCTCTAGTGTTTCACCTTTAGGTTTGTTCGGCCCAAAGCTCAGACTGATTATGAAGGGCAGCGTCCTGCTGGCACTGCAGCGTGATGGCAGCCTCAAAGAAAGATGGGTCTGTGGGTGCAGCCTGTCCAGTAATGAAGTCCCCTGCAAATAAGGGGTAAAAAGGAAAAGTCTCTGTTAATCCCTGAAAAGAAGCGTTGCCACAGAGAGTCAGGTTTCAGCTGAGTCACTCAGTACGTGCAGGGTGAGGAAGGTGAAACACGTTTAAAAAAGAGGGATGCGAGAAAGGAAGACCAGTGTGGGTAAAAGCAGCATGCAGCTGGCACTTCTGTGTCTTCCTGAAGGATAAATCGCGGGAGGAGGCTCTTTCTTCTTCAGTGACTAAATGCAGTCAAAGTCCAAGGCTGCTTACAGCTGGTAGTTTGTTTTCTAACTGAGACAAGCACTCTAGGCAGCCACTACTGCTTTGGCTGGATATCCAGGTAATTAATTATAAAAGATTTCAATATAGCAGTTTAATTAAAACTGGGGCAGGTATTGGGAATACTTATTTCCTGTAAAATTACTGTGTGTGAAGGGTTCATCCTGCTGCCTTTACTTATGGAAGGTCTGTTTCTGCTAAGCATTCAGCACAATGCGATTTCTCTTTAGTGACATTTCCCACTACTCCCATCACCCAGTTCTCCCTGATGAAACGTGAGTGTGTAAAACCTTCCTGTGACAGGCCTCACTGCTGCCTTTTCTCCACCACGGTATTGTGCTCCCCCACAAACTTTGATGGTTGTCACATGTATTGCCATACACTTTACATAAGTAATACTCCTGTGGCATTACAGTGCTATTTCTACAAGTTTTTCTGCTTGGGCAGCAAAGCTTGTTTTTTGGTTTGTGTGTGTTTTTTTTTTTTACAAGTGTATTTATTAGCTTAATGAACTTTATGACTTGCTACACTGTTGACAGGCTTTTTCCTGAAGTACTTTTAATCTCTTGCAAATACGTTCCAGCAGAACTCTGTTTTTTGTCATCTTCACTATGTCACAGACATTTTAAAAGACTTGTCGTAGTTGTTACTTCATTTTAAATGTATTCTTCTGAAATGTGCTTAGCTTGCAAGTATTACTTGCTTAGCATTGCTTTTTTTTGGGGGGGGGAGGACTTTTGAATTGTCTAATGTGCACAAAGCTTGGGCTTAATCCCTTAGACATCATGGTACTCAACACTGCAGCACCTGCAGCCAGCCCCAAATACATCATCTTAAAATCATGAGATTTTAAGAAAGATTTAAAAAAAGAAATATTCCGACTGGCCCTCTCTCAATTAGAGGATTAATTTGAACTTAATCTCCTTTATCCCAAACTAGTGATCATTATCGTATGGTCAGTCACAAAGCATTCCCCAGCTTCTTGCTCGCTGAAATTCCTGGTGCATTGCACCACACCAGCCCATGGAGCCTGCGCTGGCCACACTGAGCACACGCTGTCACTGCCGCTGCAACTCAGCTGTGCAATGGGACGTCCACATCACACCGCTGAAGAACCCACCACTAATCCAAGGGTGTTCCAGCCTATTCGTCATTCCTAGACATATGAACTACTTGCCTCTACTCATTTCATTATGTCTTTAAAATCACAAAATGGTATTAGATTGAAAATAACTCGTTTTAATCCTTGGCTCAAAAAGTAGCCTGCAGCTTTAGAGGTAAATTGACAAAGGGGTAAAAAGAAATGCGTTATTTATTTCATGATTCAAGAACGTCCCATCAGAAAAAAACACCTTGGTTCAGAAACGCTCTATCTTTTTGTTTTCCATTTCAATGGGTGTAATTCTCCCCCCTTCCCCCTCTCCCCCCAAAAATTCAACCAGGGCTGCTGTTAAATTAGTGCTGATGTTAAATGAGGAACAAATATCTACAGCACTTTACGCCACTGAATTTTCTGTATGACCTGCAGTATAGCAGAACAAGAGAAGATGAAAAGTCAGTCAGATGTGAAAAGTCTCAAGTGAGATGAGTTAGCTTTTAGCTGCTGCTGTTTTCTGCAAGGTAAACACAGTTAACCGGCAGCACCTGCACTTTCTGTTATGTAGAATCAGCAACAGCGAAGGGATTAAATACACAAAATGCTAAAAATGGGGATCTGAAGCTATCTGCTAAGGCCTGCCAACTTATTTTGTTTGTGTTTCAGTGCTGTAAAGGCTAACATGAAACAAAGTAAGCGATTCTTGCAAGCAATTACCCTGTAGTAAGATTGTTTTTTAGATCGTATTTTCCCAAAACATGTAAAATACTAAATATGATGTCATAAATAGCTCAGTCTGAGCGAAATGCTGCCAGTGTATGCGCGTAAGTACGGAGTGATTACGGTATAGGTCAAAAGCGATTTAAACTTCAAAGCGGACTTATAAGTGATTTTAGTTCTTCTGATTTAGCAGAGAAAAAAATAATTTACCTTTATTTCATGTTATTTTAAGACCACGATCTCGATCAAGGGACAGTGGTGATGAAAATGAACCAATTCAGGAACGATTCTTCCGGCCTCATTTTCTGCAGGCTCCTGGAGACCTGACTGTTCAAGAAGGAAAACTCTGCAGAATGGACTGCAAGGCAAGTGCCACCAAAGGGTAGCAGCGCCCTGTCACTAACATTAGCAGACTCAAAAGCCAAACTCGTTTCTTTTTAAAGCTGTTTCACCCACGGGCAGTTTTGGGGACTGCCAATAGGTTAATTAATCTCACTACATATGAGCACGTGGACATGAAAAATTCGCCTTCCCTCCAGTGAAAGTGCTTCAAGCAAATCTCACAGCTCACGGTAAACCACTCTTTAGGATTCCGCTCTGCTCGAGTGTGGAGGGAAGCAGCACATACCACAAAGAGCGCACTTCTCTGTTTCAAGTCCCTCATGAAAATTTCAAACAATATAATCCTGATTTATGACTTTGCCTAGCAGAATTGATGAAGCCTTGGATCACTTCTGTTTATTTTATGGTGACATATTTGGGAGAAGCTATTTGCTCTCAAGCAGTACCCACAGCAAATGGCAAGGCTTTCAGAAGTACGAGAGTTGCTCACACAGATGCAGCATTAAGTAGTTCAGGAGGTGCTGTCACTAGGTTACACCTATGGAGAATGGAACTTAACAGTTCAATAATTAGCCAGTAAATATCTTTTTGTCTGCAAGTTTTCCACAAAAAGTTAATCTAGAAAGGAATATCTTCTAATTCCACCCAAAGGGCAAACAATAAAGAAAGACAAAAGGTGTAACCCTGCCCTTTGTTTTGCAATGTATTATTATTTAGCTTCTAGCATATCTAAACAGTGATCTTTTTTCAGTCACACCTGTAAGACATCACGGAATTCAGGGAGTTGGCCAGAAAGTAAGTAAATTAGTACAACTGAGTCAATGTGTAAATTCAGGACAGAACCAGATCTGATCTTTGGTACACCTGCAGCAGCAAACAAAACTAAACTTCTCTGAAGTAACAAGTCAGGACTTCTCCAGTGTTTCATACAGCTAAAACCATTTCCCATTATTCTGTTTACACTTAAGGTTAGTGGATTACCGACTCCAGATTTAAGCTGGCAACTTAATGGAAGACCAATTCGCCCTGATAGTTCTCACAAAATGCTGGTGCGTGAGAACGGTGTGCACTCCTTGATCATAGAACCAGTCACAGCCAGAGATGCTGGAATCTACACGTGCATTGCCAGCAATCGAGCTGGTGAAAATACATTCAGCTTGGAGCTCATTGTTGCAGGTAACATCTTCATGCTAAGCTTCCGCACTGAGCACTGTACGGGTAACATGAAAATGGAAAATCTGACGTGGTTGAGGGGTAGGGTGGTAAGAGGAAACCAAGCAGCAACAGGACTACAGCATAGTTACAAGTGATATATTTGTTATGCTGTAGCATACACTGACTGGGAAGTAACTGCACACAGAGTTAGAAGAGGGCTGCTGCCACGCTGAGGCCACAAACCAGACTGATTTACTTGAATGGGTTTTTCAATGGCAATTTGTGCAGACCCGTACCTACCCTCAGGGAGCTGGGATGATGTCATTTGTGTGCTTCACAGCACATTAGACTAATGCCATCCCAGCCTTCTGGTAGAGCAGTTCCTTCTATAATTAAAAGCCCATCCTTCTATGAACTACGGAGAAGCACTGTCCAACAAGCGTAGCGCAGCCAATTTATCTAGTCTTCACGCTCTATGTTTCAATTCTTTTGGGGATGGGGAGGAACTGCTCAGCTCTGTAGGCACTCATTCTCCCCCCGTCAAAATACTGATGTGACTGTTTTCTTCAGATGAACCAGGACTGGACTTTGTGATTAATGAAGAGAACCCTTAAGCTTCCTGCCACTTGGATTTTTCATTACTAGTTTTTAGCACTTTGCTGAAAGAAAGGCTACGTTTTCATAGACTAGTGTCAACATGACTGCTGTCTTTCTTTTCACAGCTAAGGAAGTACATAAAGCACCTGTGTTTATAGAGAAGCTACAAAACACAGGCGTGACTGAGGGATTCCCTGTGCGACTGGAGTGTCGAATCTCGGGGGAGCCATCTCCTCAGATATTTTGGAAGAAGGAGAACGAGTCACTCACATATAACACTGACCGAGTGAGGTTAGTCTGGCTTAGAATAATCTCCCCATGTGTAACTTCAGTGATGATTTAGCCTGTAATACAAACCAAGAAGGACATAATAATGCTTTGTGCATACAGCAGCTCATAAATATTAACCAGTTATTGTAATAATTTATGACTTCTACTCAAACCTGCATCCAGCCTGCTGCCTGAGCCAGAAGTAAATGTTCTGTTTTCCATCCCTGGACTTAAACAACTATCTTTGCACTTTAGGCAAGTGAAGAAATAGTTTTTCTCTAAACTAAGGACTAAGACGAAAAAACCCAGGCTTCCAAGTAAAACTATTTGCTTCACAGCAGAAACTCCAATTCATAACTGCTGCGTAGTTAAGCAACTAAGGTGCAATATTTTAACTTCTAAGATCTACAAACTTGTCTTCAATATTTGGTAACATTTGTTGGAATGTTTAAAAGCAAACTCATGATATATTGTAAGAAAAGAAATCTATAAACGACATGATATTGTAATAAATTATTGCTGTTCTTGTAAATAACTTAAGAGTATTTCAGTACCTTGTTCCTCATGTTTTTCATCCTTTTCTCTAAAAAGCATGGGTACGTTCTGGCATCCCTACTACCTGAATTGGATTTCCAGATGTCTTAATCGCAAATTGTGAAAGAGAAGTTACTTTATGCATTTTTGATTCTTAGTTTTCAATACAGGATATTAAACTGCCAAACTGTCAAGAATACTCAAGGTTTTATTTTCCACTTGCCGATTTCAGAGGACGCTCCATCTTAATTAAAAGCATACTATAATTAATCTGCAAGTAGGATTGGATCTGTTTGCAATGACATTTTAAAACAGTGTGCACTGTTTTGCAATTCAAATAGTAATTTTCTACTTTCCTTTTTGTTCAGCATGCACCAGGATAACTACGGCTACATCTGCCTGCTTATTCAGGGAGCCACAAAGGAAGACGCGGGCTGGTACACTGTTTCAGCTAAGAATGAGGCTGGGATTGTGTCATGCACTGCCAGGTTGGATGTTTATAGTAAGTGACTTCAATTCTCATGATCATAGTAATCCCTCCAAAACCAACAGTTCTGTAAGTTACAGTCTGTTTACAGAATGGTTTACATTGGTCTCTCTTTCTTCTGTTTATAGTTTCTCCTCAATAATAACGATCCATATCAAGACAACAAATGCTCTGTCAAAGTATATTTCACCATCTTTCAGATACCTAAAGCAAAACAAGAATGCATGGTTTCCGTTTTTGCTTAGTGCATTAAATATAGCTAATTAACAAAAGATAACGGCATGATTATATTATTTTTGTAGATAATTATTACTATTGCTCTGCTAGCACTTTCCTAACCTTTTGTATTCCTTTGTTAATTAGCCTGTAATACACCTGTTACAGCTACCAGAAGTGATGGTTTATGGCTTTCTGCTTAATTTTTCTGTTGTTCCAATGCAGCTCCTTACATAGTGAATGCTTTCTTACACCAATCTCTTACCAGTCTTCTCATAACAAGAAGAAATGGGGGGGTGGGAGGGTGGAGAGAGACTGGAATGATTAAATGATGGTTTCTGTAGTGGTAGTGGGACTTGTGAATTAGAGACTTGGCTCAGCACTCTTCAGCATGCGAGGGGTGCCAACGGCAACCAGATGATTTCCTTTCATATACAACAAATAACCCTCAGACAGGCCTGTCACTGTAATATTAGAGCACGGAAACAAACCCCTTGCTGTTACCCTTCTCAGTGACACAAGGAAAGGTAGAAAGCACCGCCAAAAAGGCAAAGTAACAAACATAGACGCTATTGTTTCTGCTTACCACATCTGAAGGTGAAACTAGATGCTGAGGGAAAAAAAAACAACTCACCAAGAAATAAAACAAGCTTACGTTTGATATAATGATTTTCCACTGCTCAGAAATTAGTATCTCCTTTACAAAGGGTCAATTGTGCATCTGGCACGCTTTGCTGCACAGCTCAAGATGGCTAACATTTTTTTTTTCTTTCCTTTTTAATCTATAGCTCAGTGGCAACAACCACCTCAGACTACCAAGCCAAAGAAGGTGCGGCCCTCAGCCAGCCGATACGCTGCACTCTGTGACCAAGGACTAGACATCAAAGCAGCTTTCCAGCCTGAAGCAAACCCAGTCCACCTGACAATGCAATCTGGCTTGGTAGAGAGTGATGATCTGTAGATCCACCTGCCGCTTCCATCGTTTTCTTTCAAAACAGAAACACTGAAAGCCATTGCCTTGACCAATGATACTCCTATGTCACTTTATGCAAAGGCAGACACCTTCAAGTACAAAAGATAAACAACAAACACAATAACCATGTATTCCTTACTCATTATACCAAATTAGAAGAATAGATAGATTTTTTAATAGAAGTGTACACATTGCACAACAGATCACGTTCACCAGTTCCTTATACCTAAGTTGCTTCAGCTCTTACGAATAACCCGTTTTCATACAGGCCAAAATACATCGGAGAAACAGATTTTTTCAGAAGAGAACACTATTTATCACTACATGCCCTCCTAAGCAGTGAGTAGATGCTACACAATCTTAATGGTGCAAGCTGTTTTATTTGAGGCTGTTAGATCACAAAGAAAATTAGAATGTCTGGTTATCTGTAGTCCTAAAATGGCAATGCCTTCTGATAGCTACAGTGAACAAGTGCAATATTGTAAGAATAAAACAGGAAGGGACAAGGAAGAGAAACATAAACATGTGCTGTATCTCTGCAAACTGCCTTCTATTCTACAATGAAAAAACCCCTGCCTCAAATGCCGTTAGTAAGGGCAATTCTATACACCAACATCAATGCCGTAACTTTAAATTCTTTTCTGTTTTTCCTTTTTGCCATCTAGGAGGAGGCTTACTTACAAACATTCAGCAAAGACAGTTTAAGCATACGTAATTTAACCTCTTCAAGACAACGAAGAAAAAGAGCTGACATGTAGAAACAGTCTCCTCCAGACTACAAATACTGGTAACTAGACAGGAAAAGAAATCCCAACACCATGAACCACTGCAGCAGGTTACTGCAAGGGGTGGGAGGGGGACAGGGCAAGAGGTGCAACTCTGTGGATTTCCTGAAGACAGTCGGTAACCCCTCTCATTCAAGAATCTGAAATTCTAAGGTGAGCAAAAAACTAGGGAGTGTATGTATGGGATGTTTGTCTGTTTAAAGCTTGTGTAACGCGTATGAGGATTTTAGAAATGTATAGTAAGTGAAAAAATAGGTTGGGACTGCAATATACATTTAAATGACAAGTATACACCACAGGTGATAAGCTTGCAGATCTGAGGAAGTAAAAAATGAAGATGGACAAAAATAATATCAAATTTGCGCCTTTTTTTTTCTTCTTAACATAGCACGTCTCTGGTAGATTTCATTTTTTTTTCTTCTGACTGTACACAAATGACAGCTCTTTTAAGGGGTAGAGTCTGTGTGTCGCAGCTGAAAAGCCTGAAGGCTACTTTCGGAATGCAAGGCAAATCCACATCAAACTGGAGCCTCACCTAAGTCAGACCTGACTGAGTATTTCTAAATTAGAACCAAATGAATTTCAGATGGACAGGGGGGCAGGACGGAAGAATTACTAGGCCTGACAAGAAAAATGAGCATCTGATGGTACGAGCTACAATACTTTGCTATGAAAGGAAAACACTGTATTCCTTATATGAAGCACATATGCGGTATCTTTCATTATTTATAATAAAAGTGTTGAAATCTTTTATCTCAGTTCAGTTATCAGAAGTCCTGTACTTAGGGGTTTGTTTTTTGTTTTGTGTTGTTGTTCTTTTTTTAAATTTTGTAATTGTGTACACCATATATTGCATTACTGCTATACATGTATTGCTTTGTAAGTACACAAAGTTTGTTTTGTTTTTTAGTGACTAATAAACTTTAGCACATAAAGTAGTACTATTCTGGTGCAGGATATGACCAGTTACGGGGATTGTTAATCTAGATTAACATAATAGTCTGTCATCTGGGAATAATCTGATTCGATTCTAGAAAAAGTATGTCATATCATTTGCCAAATTTTTCTCGACTGTGAGATGCTAATTTACTTTTTTTTTTTGTTTAGCTTCACTAGCATTATTTTGCCACTTTTATTTGTATTTATAAAAAAAATGTATTATCATTACTTTGGATTGTTGTGCTGATATAATGTGGGTTTAACATCAATAAATATTACACAAATAGGAAATTTTGCTTCTGGTAAAGACTATTAACTGTTTCAGTATAAGCATATAAGTGTAAAGTTTAGAAATTGTAAATGTTATGAATACAAGTGAAACAAGGGCTATATGCAGCATCTAAAAGTTACTAGAATTTCTTACAATATTCTGCTAGTGACCTGGAAAATTGTTCAAACAAAACAGAAGGAACATGACCAGTAAGTTCTGAAAAACTCCTGCCAAATAAAAGTACTCAATTTTTTTGTAATAGGTAATAAAATATGCAGGTCTATTTTGTGTCCAGTAATTGCAGTATGACATTACTCAAACTGATTCTAAGTAAAGGGCATGGTCTAAGCACTGTTAAATTTGTTTAAAAATGGTCTTCTAACAACACAACATCAAAATTAAAAAAAAAAATAAAATGTTAAGATTTACTTGTAAAAATCTCAAAATATTAACTAGCTTCACCTTCTTTCCTTTCTTGCACCCTTTCCTGCACCAGGAAAGCTGCAGGATAATATTTTTTTTCTTTTAGGCTTACATTTAAAGCATTGATCACCACAAGCAGATTTATCTCATCAACTGAGTTATTGACAGTAATGGTGAGACTGCAACTCCAGTCAATGGCATTCTGTCTGCTTACAGTAAATTTGTCTTTGGCTTAGAGACTAAAAAAACTGAGACTGCTCTTTTTAAAGTGGTTTAAGATGAGGTCATCATCACTTTTTGCCTCTGTGTGTATGTACAGGCACTTAAGTAGTAAATCCCATCTCTAAGCAGCAAAGTTGTTTTTATGAAAACATTCAGCTGTGCTGTTACTTAGTTACCGGGACTGTTTGCATTTACAAATTCAGAGATAGAAGCATGGCACAAGAAAATTACATACTTTTCAAGCCAAAAAAATCTAAAATTCTTGGAAGCATTGAAGTGACTTTCAGAAGTTTAATCTCTCTCCACAAACTCCAAAGATAGACAGTATGACCTGAAAGTGTACTTTTATGATTTTATAAGGATTACAAAAAAAAGAAGTCCTAAGTTTTTGCAAGACTTCAGATTCAGCTGTGGGAAGACTTCAAATTGTTTTGGAAGCTGCTCAGTCCAAGCATATTCAAAGCAACTGAAGACTCAACTACGTTCAGGATAATGGTAGAAATCCATATCAAGAGCACCAAGTGAGGTGCAAAATTCCACATGTGAAGGTTTTTTTTCAGCCAGTGGTGTACCTTAACACACACCCTGCTTTTTTCCCTGCAACTTCGCAGCAACAGCCACAATTAGTTAATACACACAATTATTGGTTTTTTCCCTTCACAGCCAACTGAGGGAGCAAACCTAAACTGTGGTCATTTGAAACACTAGCTTATAAATCATAGTGTCGTTCTATACTACCACTTCCAAAGACCTTTTTAATTCACTTAGGTTGTATGCTAATAAATGCCTTGATTCCCCACATATGGACAACCCCATCCTTATCTGTGCAAGCAGCCCAAATGGATTTAGTATGTAAGTACTTCATGAGATCATGTTATCCATCGTGTCATGATGCTGAGTGGATCAGCTGCACGCTCTGGCTGTACGACGCAGCTGCCAAATCCACATTGCGTTGTACAGATGAATTAAAGCATGGACTGGAAACGCCTGCTCAGATTATACACGTTGACAACAGCCCCGATTCAGTGCCTCACTATTCAGCTGTCCACGCAAGGGGCAGAATTTGCTGACATTTAGCCTTTTCCCCTGAAGCGGCTAAAAGGAAAACTCTCCCCCTGCAGTTTTTGTTTGAACAAAACCATGAGCACGTAAAACACATCAGACAGATGGAAACACAGCTCTTGCACCAAGAAATTTACAATCTATTCCAGGCAGCACAGAGTATTCTTTAACGTGTCTTAAAGGTTGTGATTCTAATTCAGAATTAAGCCATGCTTTGCACCATTTGACAGAAATTATTAGGACATAAAATACTCTCAATACTGCACAGAATGTCAACTACAAATATCAGTGCTTGGAACAGAATGCTCAGCTTGTGCTTAAAGCAAAAAAGCCAGACTACAAATAATAGTACCTGTACAGCAAAGGTTTCAGTAGCTCTACAGAAGAGGAAGGTAAATGAACTTCAGTCCAACACCATCAGGAAGGAGAAAATTTTTTTGCTTCATAGAACAACTGCAGTGCAACAGGTAAACCCAGAGGAAGGGCCAGGGCTTGCAACCGCTGTCACTTTCTAGTTCTGTAGTAGCATGAACGACCCAGAAACAGCTGCAGAGTAAGAAAGGAGAAAAAAAAAAAACAGCATGTGGACACTACTCAGAATCATTACATCATTTATGGCAGGAGCTCTACAACTCTCATCACACTGATTGGATTAAGTTGGTGGGTTTTTTTGCCTGAAACTATTTTGCTGAACACACAACTAAATACATTGTCCAGTTTTTTTTTTTTGGCCGACACTTGGCCCAGAGTATTTCTACAAAGAATTCAGGCTACGGAAAATACAGTGCCAAGGACAGGACCGTTCCAAACTACTGTAAAACTGTTGCATCTACCTCTGAAGATAAAGCTTCCAGTACAACAGGCAACATCCCTCTCTATTCTGTTGCAGATTAAGAAGTAGTGTGTTCTGGAGATGGCTTTTACCTGCAGCATTTGTCTGAGCAGGCGCAGGAGTCATCTGTAGGAAAGGACCTGCCTAAAAGTAAACCTGTTTTACCACGCTATTCTACAGCATAATGCACATATCAATTCACTTCCTCCTAAATACTTCAGAATCAGATTCACTGAACATTTCTGTAATATACAGTTTTATCTTCCTTAAATATTGTATTAACTTCAGCTCTACACTCTCCAAGCATTTACTAATTTATATAATAATGCAGAATAAAACATAATAAAATTTAATTCTTCCACCAGTACCACTGCTACTAAATCCAAAGATCTTGAATTGTGCATGCACGATGTCTTTTTAGGTATGGAAGAGCAGCTTTCAAAAATTTCTGTTTGTAAAGTTCCGAGTCCAGCCTGCACTGTGAAAAAAAGTATAACTACATGATGTAGATCTCCAAACCTAAAATAGGATCTATTAGCTGTTTCCCTCAAAGCCCTCTATACAAAAAGCATAAGACAGTTAAAAATCTTAATAGAAAAGTGAAGTAATTTTAAAATAATTATATTTTCTGACCAGCAAATCTATTAAACTTCATAAAAGCCGAACAAAGCTCTCGCTTGTGATTATTAGAGCATTTTTTGCAACATATAAAAATGATTATAAGAAAAGGCACAACTACTGCTAGTAACTGTCATTCCAAAGAAAAAAAAAAAGAAAAAAAGAATAATTCCTGGTCAGCCTATACATCCTAAAAGCAGAGATGGAGTGTTAGTTTCCAAACATGAATTCCAGGGACTAAGACATCCGAGATCTATCCTTACCCAGGACAAGTGTCATCCAAGCCAAAGGCGAAGCAAAAAGAACACAGCACCTTAAGTGGAAAAGAAGTGTTGATGATCAGTGCAATCTCCAATGTCCTTGCTTAAGAGTTCAGACTTGTCCTGGCTGCTTTGGGCAGACGTCAAG